TATTAAAAAATTTTACTTACATAGAAGTTGCACCCAGGTGTTGGCTTGAAAACGTAATTGATGGAATTGTCCTATCTCATTCCAAAAAAAATGGCAGCCATTTCCGCACGGCGGGGCTACTCGGGACACCCCATGGGGTAATTAGGGACACCCTAAAAAATGCATTTACAGTAGAATCTCAGTTGGCAAAGGCTCCAGTTAACAAAAAAAAAAATGATTAACAGCAAAGAATTTTGATTACATTTACTTTACCCCGCTTGGCAAAAAAAATTCACTTGTCGAAAAATTAGTGCATCATCAGTCATCACAAAATTGTACATAGAATGCTATATATAGAATTGTGCACCGGGCATCATAGAATGAAAAGAAATTGACCTAAACTATGATTTATTTCTTCAAAACATATGATGGTTGTCACTAAAACATTATTTTCTGTTTCAGGTATGTTTTTCATGATCTTTTTTGTTATAGTGAAATCACTAGACTTGATTAAAATTGTATGAAATTACAAACCATCCTGTAAGCTTACAGATACAGAAGAAATGCTACATGGCTGCTGATATGAAGCTTGCAGTGGACAAGGTCGTTGTCAATGCTCAATGGCATGTCCATGGAGACAGTAATATCACATTAATAATATGATAATTAGTGTCAGGCCATGATGTCATTAGCAACTATTACGTCACCTTCTGTGACGTCACTACTTGCGGGTCGTATATAAGCTCGGTGAGCGCACTGTCAACCCAGAACAGAGTTATTCCTAGATTTGACATTAGTGAATATGGTAATATCGAATCAATAAAGGAAAAACTAGTAAAAATCACAGAAAATGTTATTTATTTTACATCTACATCATCTACAATGAAAGAGAAGGACTTCAGAGTACTGTTAGTAATAGATGAGTATACTCTGCTTGCTTCAAATGTTTGAAATTGAGTTTTTTTTAAACGTCCCTTTTTACCCCATTTAAAGATTAATTCAGGAGCCTTATATATTGCGTCTAGTGCCTTACAAATAGCATATGGAACTTTTTCGAAGATGCCATTTGATAGCCCTCGTAAAGAGCTATAAAATGAGCCTAAACTTGTTTCTGAAATGTTTCATGGTAAGAAGTTATTAACAAAAAATGCTCAAAACCGTCCCTTTTTACCCTGTTTGACGGTACCTCCATTGCTCTTATATTTCACCTCAAAACTGCTCAATCGGTTCTGCCCCACCCTGTATAAGCTAGCTAACACATTTAAATTGTATATATATCAATATATATCAATAAATATCAATCAATGTATCAATATATAACAAATACCAGTAGTCAAATAGTTAAAGACTACTTATATAGCCTTACAGGAATTAGCTAAGCTGCTATCTATGTACAATGTATTGCAACACTTGATGCCTCTGTACCAAAAACTTTCAATTTATTGGAGCCTAATATCATACACACTAAAAGGCAACAAGTTTATATTCCAATTTGTCATTCACAGTACATTTATACTAAACCATGAATAACAATACCTCAAAATAAATTAAAGACTGCCACTCAATATATTTAAATATATATAAAAAATAAAAAAAAATCGAAAAAATCAAAAAACCATTTAATCACATGATTTAATCATTTTGATTTAATCATTGCCAACCCTGGGGGTAATAGATAAAGGTTCTTCCTGAATATATTGTACATAGGTTTGACTTGAAGACAGTTTCAGGGTGGTGACATTAACATTATTGCAGAGGAACAAGCTGATAAATGCCAAGACTACTACCATCAGGGGCTGGAGTCTTACAATGAGTTTTACATTGCAGGTGTTGTGCAGGGTAATGGAAGGACTTATTAAGATGCCTAGTCCTTATTTAGACTCGTTACTTTTTTTAGACTTGGTACTTCTAATATAAGTAGAATAAAACAGTTGATGCCTCAAAAAATGAACAAATCCAGGAGGCTCAAAAGAGGATTACAGACATCCAATCATGCCAGCAAGAGGCATGTCTATGATCTTGGCTACCTAATTTTAAGATAGTTTAGCTAGCTCCACTTAGCTTTTGAGACATTTTAGCTAGCTCCCCTTAGCTTTTGAGACATTTTAGCTAGCCCTCCTTAGCTTTTGGGAAATTTTGGCTAGCCCCCCTCAGCTTTTGAGACATATTAGCTAGCTCTCCTTAGCTTTTGAGACATTTAAGCTAGCTCTCCTTAGCTTTTGAGACATTTAAGCTAGCTCTCCTTAGCTTTTGAGACATTTAAGCTAGCTCCCCTTAGCTTTTGAGACATTTTACCTTAGCTTTTGAGGCATTTAAGCTAGCTCCCCTTAGCTTTTGAGACATGTAAGCTAGCTCCCCTTAGCTTTTGAGACATTTTAGCTAGTTTTTCAGAGAATTTTAGCCAGCAATGCACATGTTACTTATTTCAAGTTATGTTCATATAACAAGCCTCAATTTTTTGCTTTCAGTTTTGCATATTCTTGATTTGCCATTTTTTATCAAAATGAGGAGTAAGTTTGACTGCAGTTTCAGTTAACATGCATGAATAATGAAGTCCACATTTGGGAGTACACAAGTCCCCAAGAACGACTCCTCTGCTCACTCAGACCAGAAATCAGTTATTAGAAATAAGAAAAAGTTGCCAAAGAAATCTGTGTCCTGACAAACTGGCAGCTCGGATGAGTTTTCATCTGATGGCACTCATACTGAAGCCACATTTAATCCAAACATGAGGAGCAAGAAGATGGCAAGTGCTGCCAAAACCTTGAGTGTTAAAGCTGATAAAACCAAAAAGTCATCTCTGACCAACAGCAAAATGTTCTCTGATATGCTCGAGAAAAAAGAGGCTCATGATGTTCTCTCTAAAAATACAAAAGAAAACCAATTTTCTGGTGACCCAGAAGTTAACCTGACATCACATGACAAGAATGGAAGCAATAAAGAAAATCTATTGCGAAAATTAGTTGATAAAATAAAGGGTAGTGACACAGAGGATGATTCTAATGATAAATGCTCTTATGATGATTGCACAAAGTCTATGTCCAGTCAGACCAAGGAACTTCTGAAAGATACCAAGTTATCCTCAAAAGAGGGGTTGGCTGAAGAGAAACCAAGTAAGAGGCTTCAAATGGAGGCTTAAAAAGCCAACTCCTCGGACAAGACACAAGAAACAAGCTCAGCAGGCAAGACTGGAAATAAACCTGCAGATTCAAACACCTTGTCTGAAGAGAAATTCTGTAAAGACAGAATTGTTGCTCCTTGATCAAGATCTAACGATGATAGAATTAAAGCATCCCCAAAAAAACTTCCTTGCAGGCCTCAGACTAATGCTTTCCAGCTCATGATGGTGAAGATGGCTAAAGTCATGGATGACACAGCAGATCAACTTGATGAATCAGATGCATTTGAAACTCCTAAGAAAACCATTAAAGATTTCTTCCCAGGCAACTTGAAGTAAACGTCTAGTGAAGAAAGACCTTCTAACAAGGAATTGGCACAAAATTGTCAGGATAAGAAATTGGCACAAAATTGTCAAGGCAAGAAATCAGCACAAAATTGTCAGGACAAGAAATCAGCACAAAATTGTCTGGACAAGAAATCAGCAAAAAATTGTCAGGACAAGATGTCAGACGACTCAGAAGAGAGTGAGATAGAAATATTCTACTCGGTTGATGAACTTGACAATATGTTGCAGTCAAAAAGCTCCCTAAGAAGTCCAGTAATAGGAAGTTTTCTATTAAGTTCAAGAAAATGAATGTTAACAAAACTGATTGTAAACCGCCAAGAAGAAAGACCACAAATAGAGATTTGCATTTGACTACCTACTGATGAAGAAAGACAAGAAAGAAATGACAGTGAAAATGAGGAGGTAAAAATTCACGATGAGAATGAAATTTCAAAAGAATCTATTGATATTGCAGACATTTTTGTGCATTCAAGAAAAATCAATAATGATAAAGAAAGAGACTTGCCTAATACATCCAATGCTAACCAAGCAGTTGTTAGGAATGTTGATAACAAGGCATTGCATCCTCGGACAGGGGGTGATGGTGATGTCGAGGGTGGTGAAGAGGAGGGCAATGGAGTGGAGGGTGATAAAGTGATGGGTGATGGAGCAAAGGGCCATGAAGTGAAGGATGAAGTGATGAATGATGGAGTAAAGGGTGGTAATGTAGAGGGTGGTGATGGAGTGAAGGATGGTAATACCAGTGATGATGACCTGGATGAGCTGACTAACAGAATGCACGTCCTCACAAAGAAGCGCAAGCGCAGCCAGCCTGCAGTCGTAGGAAGCTGTGACAATGAACAGAATTTGGATGAACTTGCCTTGAAAATGTGCAAACTCTCCAAAAAATCCAAGGAAAAGAAAGTCAATCTGCCATTAAAGTTTGTTCAAGCAGCTAAAATTTCCAAGAAAAAATAAAACCCAAACTTGATCAGAAGAAATCTACTGGATTGCATGAGAATACCACGTCAAATGAAGAACTAACCAGTCTAAGAACCCTGGATGATGCAGCATGTGAGAGTAATGATGTTGCTAGCAAGTCACTGACAAAGAATGATATGGATTGGCACAATATAGATCAGGACCTTGATAAGTCTAGAAGCTCGCAATCCCAGAAAAACAGAATTAACAACATTTTCAAGAAAATAACTCAGTCTGAACTGGACAGTAAGCGCAACAAGAGTGTATTGACGGTTGTTGCTGCTGTTCACTCTCCACTTGTACAAAAATCTGTTGATAAAAGCTCTGGAAAAGTTGACAAATTGAACAGTAAAAGCCGTTCTAAGTCTAAGGATCAGACAAACTGCAAGCTTACTTCACCCATCACCAACTTGGCTGTTGATGAGCTTGATAAAATAGAAGTTGTTGATTCAGTTCTCTGCATGAACTTGAGTGAGCTACTAGCTCAGTCAAATTATATATTACTTGACCAAACTTCATTTATTCTTAACACTGAACAAAAAATGCAATCTAATGTATCCAAAAGTATTACCAAGTAAATTGTTGGTGTCAGGGCCAAGAAAATTGTTGGTGCCAAGGGTTGTGAAGATACAGAAGTAAACTCAAAACATATTGAAGATTTAGAGCTGCATACATCAAAGTTGTGTGTCATGAAGAAAAGTATTGATTCCACTGCTGATGTGCTGGACACCAGTCGTGTGGAAGATGTGTTATACGACATTGTTTCTCTGCCATCCACATCCTCCCTTCACCACGACCAGCCTGTGACGTCCAAACTCAGGCAAGTTTTGTGGTAGGCAGTATAATTCTTATCACCTATTTGACTAATTGCATTTATATCTGTTGTGATCATGTTTAATTTTTAGTTAATATATCTGGAAATATTTAAAAATGGTCACATGATATTACTAAGTGTTTAATTTATGCAAAAGAACTTGTGTACGAGAATAATTAAAGTTACATGTGCAATATACTCTTGTTAGATTGTCTATGCTATGCCTCTTAGATACTTAAAATCAGTGGAAGATATTAATAAATTATCATTAAATTTGTATCAATAATTTGATATTGGTAAATGATATGTTTTATCAGTAAATTGGCATCAGGGCAGTAAATTAATAATTTTTAAAATCAAAATTATGAAAATCAGTAAAATAATTGATAATTTTAATAATTTATAATTTTAATAAATAATTTTTTAAAATAATCAGTAAAATAATTGATAATTTTAATAATTGATAATTTTAATAATTGATAATTTTAATAATTTACAATTTTAATAATTGATAATTTTATTAATTTATAATTTTAATAATTGATAATTTTAATAATTTATAATTTTAATTAATAGATTTGTAAATAATCAATAAAATTGACAAGATTCATTGTTGCAGGTTGAAGAAGACAGGTGAGAAGGCTGCCCAAACTCTCCCCCATACCAATGATGAACTTATTGCTGCTGATGTTGAAGTGTTGCTCAACACTGATGACAAACTTGCTGCATTTCATACAAAAGATGAACTTGATGATAGCATTAGCAAGTGTGCTTTATCTCACTGCAGTCATGTTGATAATGATGTGAACAGTGCTGATAATGATGTGAACATTAACAATTAGTAGAGAAGACAGGATGCGAGTGAGACCCGAGCAATTGTCGCTGCAGTGAGAACACTGGCATGGATGTTTCACTGGACGGCACGGATGTTGAAATTAAGAGAATATTTAACAAAATCAACTCGTAATTAACGATGTTTTAACGTCAATTGCCTGGAGGGAGCTCATTTGTGGCATAATAAACGACGAGTCTCTGGGAGTGGCTTAGGCTAGTTTTGGCTGCGATTATCCTGTGCGGCATTGTGTGCTGCGGCCTGAGCTCCGTGTGTGCCGCGCTGTGCGTTGCGGCGGTCGCCGGCCGCGAGAGCAGCCAAATGACCGCACTTGTGGGCGCACGCATAATGCTCCTCGTCACGCTGCTGGGGGTGGCCTCGCTAGTGGCTCAGGGAGGTCATCATCAGCTCCTCTCGTTACTTGACTTAATAATAATAAAGATATTATAATTTCAGCGTTTAGTAGGCCGTAGGCATGTCGCCGATTCTTAACATCGCAGAACATTCACAGCATTTTGCGGTCTCGAACTCGCAACTCACTGCTGCAATTCTGCTGTGCTTAATCGCCCGGCCTCCTTGCCGATTCTGACCAGAAACTGGCGCACAGAGCTGGGATCGAACCCGCGCCTCTCTGCGCCAATCCTGGTACTCTGAACTGTAACCACTGGGCCACCCTGCCCACTGACTTGGGAGTCTTAACGCCCGCCCTCGTGTGACCAGCAATTCTCATGACCCTCGCCATCGCTGCCGCACATGGCATGGGCAAGATACGGAAAGATTTTATTTTCATGCTTGAAAAAGATATGTCTGTAGTGTGGGCAGCGTAGTGGGCATTCGTCATTCCTCTCTCCCCCGTGGGATTGCTTGTGTGGCAATGCGTAGCCTGGTATAGATTTGGTTATGTGTATCGCATACACGACAGTGCGTCGCAAGCACAAGGTAGTTATGACGAAGCTGTGCTGGTGTTGTGGTGGCAGATGGCGCTCATCTGGACATTGAGGGCGCTGTTCACGCCGTTGCCACAGCTCTCTAATAACACAGGTCTTATTTTAGGCAAATCAGAACCCCTTGCAATGCACCTTTGTAGACGTAAGTCTTCCAGGTTCGCGAGTGTTAGACAGCCGTTTTTATGTGGGCATTTTAAGTGTGGCAATTTACTAAGGATTAATGTCAATTCTTGCCTAATCACTACTAATTATTTGACTTACACGATTACAAAAACTGATTAATCCGTACCGTGCCAATTACTTGGAATTAGATGTTGAAGTCATTAAATGTAGCAATTGTAAATAGAAGTGTGCATTAATTCTGTAAACAGTATGACAGTATTGCTGAAGAATTTACGTTAGACAGTTTAGGCGACAAAATTGCGATTAAGGATCAACTTTATTTCTATGACCACTCAAGTCTACGACATCGTTACTCGATCATTCTAAAACTTCGTATTTAGGATGAATATCCCCTATAAGTTCTGGTTTATCATGTGAGATCACTGGTGAACAAACTTTTATGATAGCTATATAGATTTGTTGCACGTTCGAAGAAGTCGCAGCCTTCTCTACGACTGGTCAGCACGTTACATTAAAGCGTGACAAGTCTGGCCAAGATGTTAACTTGATGCCGGGTATTTTAAATTGATATTCGTTCCTGTGATATTAATGCAGCGATTCATGTTTGCTGTGCTTGAGCATATAAACTGGCAGAGCAAACCTTCAGTGCCGAGGACACAATAATGCTTGCCTTAACTGTGTGATATTGCTGTACTATATTGTTAAGCTTGTTACATGTTACTTTATTAGCACATACATCGATCTGAACGTGCCAGTCATTGAGTCAAGATCATGTAGACCAGTGCTCGACATTAACTACCATTCTATTACAGAAAAAAACGATTATTTATGTGACTTCCAACTTTTAATATAACTAAGATTGTGTTGTTGTTGGTGCTGTTGTGGTTCCTTGCGCCAAGAAACCGAGTCAAGAATAATTTTCTAGATATTCGAGTTACTGTAGCGTTACGTCATGAGAGCATCGAACATTCATTAAGTAGCTTCAGGCATATATGATATCATGATGCACTGCTATTATTTTCTGCTCTGTGAAGGATCATTTGTAAAACAATTATGACATAATAAAATTTTACTGCAAAAAGTTTCGTCCCCCACATTAATACATAACAAAGGATCATATAAAAACTTGAAGGACAGTAAATGCCTTAATATAAAAATATTTTACTTACATTTTAATAGAGAATGAATGTTTATGAAATGTCGGAACGAAAACTCCTGATTAAAACGACGGGCTGCATTTATGGCACTTAAACCTGGGTTGACTAAAAAGACATGAGAACTTTAACAAATGTATTGAGAGCAGTACTGTATATGAAACCCAAGGGCGAGTGTCGACACCAACTTGTATCGTTGAATGACGTAAAAATAGTAATCATAATAGCGGTGTCAGTGTTCATTTGGCCGTAGGCTTCCACCGATTCTCAACATCGCAGAACATTCACAGCTTGTTGCGGGTCTCGAACGCACAATTCACTGCTCCAATTCTGCTGTGCTTAATTTCCCGGCCTCCTCGCCGATTTTGACCACAAACCGACGCTCAGAGCTGGGATCGAACCCGCACCTCTCTGCTCCAATCCACGAACTCTGAACTGTAACCACTGAGACACCCTGCCACGATGAGCCATACATTTCTTTAACGCCCCGCCAACTCGAAGTCTAAAACAAACGACGGTATTTCTGACTTATAAGTAGATCAGTGCAAGATATCTAATGTAGGCAAGGCAAATGTTCTTTGTTCTTAATCAGTTTTTTTAACAGTCTATCTACGGACGAGAACTATTTTCGTAAACAATTTTCGTACTGCAAGAAGACGAACTCGAGTGCCGGAGTCATTCCAGCAAGTCATGTGGACCTGACGGCTTCCACCCAAAGTTACCAAAAGAATTAGCAGCCGTGATGGTTGTCCCTTTGAAGCTTCAACGAAGGGACTTTGCCAGCAAATTGAAGAGAAGGTCAAGTGGCAACATTGTTGAAAAAAAGGTGATAAGTAGACCAATTCGAAATGATTTTCATGTCAACCCATGTGATTGACCAGAGATAATGCACAGTTTTCAGTCAAATCTTAAACCTAGCGATTTGTTGTACTGGATAACATTCGCTATTATAGCTAGGCTGGTAGATTATACGACATCGTAGATTATATACTGCAGGCGCGTGGTTTACCTCATCTCAATGCCAGAAATTCAGTCGCATTGTTCGATTTCGCAAGGCTTAATAATGTTCATCTGATAATAATTCTCCAGATTCATCAAGTAGAGGTAAGACCTCTCCAAAATATGTTTTTCTTAAGGGGGAAGATGTCAAGTGTGAGGTGCCACGCAGGCCACCGCCCATTCACTAATTTGGACAATAAAACTGCAAGGTTCATAATATTTGCGTTTGTCAGTGGAAATGGGAATTTGGAAAGAAATTTTATCCAATTTTCATGAGGAAACTAATTTTTTAATTGGAAATAGTTTCTTATTGCACAAAAATTCATTGATTGAGTACAACTAGAAAATATTTCCAAGTTACATTTTTTAATGAGTAACTAATTTATAATTTCGATCATACATACGGCTAAAAAATGGATTACCGACGATTATTATGACTTAATTTTTACCTATCTTAGGTCTTTAAAGTTATTTTAATCTCAATAATTACAACTGAAATCAATTAGGTTGTTAGTGAATAGTCGCAAGACCGTCTACTCGTATACTGATTGTATTAGAGTTGGAGTTCTTGCGCAAAATTTTTGCGAAATATCTTATATTGTGCTACATTGATATTGTATTATTAACTTCTTCATAAACTGCCTGTTTATGTAGTTTCTTCTACTCCAATTCCCGCACAACAACGGTTCATATTATAATGCGTTATTGACAATCTCGTCAATTCCTCACAACAGATATATAAGTTACAAAGGTCAAGACCATTAGCTAATAACCGACATGGAAATGCTAATACAGGGTGTACCAGAATTAACTGACCCTTTTAATTTGTTAATAAATAAAAAACTAAGAACGTTATGAAGTTGAAACTTGTTTTATTTAAAAGAAGAACATTTTTATGGTAATATTGTATCATAGTTACGTCATTATCCTGTATACCTTGCTAAATTTGTGTTTAATTATCAAGCCTTAAATTTTCATCATGATTCGCTACAGCAAAGGAGAAAGAACAAAAATTATCGCTACAGTCAATAACGATGTCAATAACAGAAGTTCAACGTGATTACAGGATCCATTTCAAAACAAGGATCCTTCAAAAAACACAATTAAATCTCTTTATCGAAAATTTGCGGATATCAAAACTTTGCACTCTCGTCAGAAACACTAATGAAGGTTATGAAAGCAACGAAGAGAAGAGCCCTATTTTGTCAAAACAATTGTGGTGGGCATTTAAAAGATATTATATTTAAAAACTAGGATACAATATTACCATAAAAATGTTCTTCTTTTAAATAAAACAAGTTTCAACTTCAAAACGTTCTTGGTTTTTTATTTATTAACAAATTAAAAGGGTCAGTTAATTGTGGTACACCCTGTATTTGACAGAGCAAATTCGCATTTTAATTTTTACCTGCAAAAGTTCTACTCAAATCGGCAAGGAGGCCGGTTGGTTACGCACAGCAAAATTGAAGGAGTGAGTAGCGTGTTCGAGACCGCAACAAGCTGTAAACATATTAATGACAAATTAGCCGACCATAGACTCTGATATTGTACATCCGGCAACCGAGGAAATTGAGATATTTTATTTGAAAATAACTTATGTTTGAGATACGTAGATAGGAAGGATCTGATCGCATTATTTACTATATAAGTCTGTACATTTAAAGACCACTAGTTTCCGTCTGAAGACCATGGTTAGGATCGCAGTCATTAACTGCATTGGAAACGTATTAGACATTACATCGTTTCTAAAGCAAGTAAAATTGTTACTGACGGCACTGAAATCGATTGAAAAGTATCACATTTCAATCAACATTATGTAAAGTTTTATTTAACAACAAAAACTTATTCTTGATTCGTCTTCGCTAAATGTAACGTCATAGGCGAGAAAGAAGCACTCAACACGAGGCTAGTTAGCTACTAGCGGACACTACTGGCCAGACGAAGTTGCTACAGCAACTGACGAGTGATGAGAGCTTATCTCTGATACATGAAGCTTACGCCTCAAAAAATTTAATATTTTAACGATGTAGTGCACTATTAATATGAACACCAAAGCAAGGCATCCTTGTGGCCGGAATACAATCATTATTATTTTTTTGCAATTAACTTATTTTTCCAGCATTTAGTGAAAAATATTAAATAATGGACATCTGCTACGGACAATTATAATGTGTGCAATTAAAATTAACACAAAAATAAGATTAAAATTTGATTTTCATTCGGA